GTCAGGTGCCTGGCAGAAAGTTTCTATTTTGCAGGAAGTCCAAGTCCAGCTTACTTTAAGCCCAAGCCTAACTTCTACACAATGACAGCAAAGAAGGTGCCAGACCAGATAGACAAAGAGGGGGAAAAGATGGTTGGGCTGTGCTCTCACAGCTTCTGCCCGAGAGTTAACACACAGACAGCAGTGACTACATTGAGGGATACAATTCTGGCTTGACACTTGACAGAAAAGCTTGCAAACTTTACCTCCCCACAGATGATGTCACAAGCACTGGAAGTATGCTGTGGATTCTGACACAGAGAAAAACTGGCACACAGACCGGTGGAACAACACACACACTCAGGAGAACAGACCATACAGGTGTGTGCACCACAGAAAAACCAGAGACCAGTACTAGGCAGTCTGTACTTTATTTTATCCCTAAACAACAGCGCCTAAACCAGATGGACCTTGGCCTGCCCAAGGCCCCCAAACAAGAAAAAAGGAATATCGTACCCGGGAGGTGCACTCCGGACGACTCAGCTAGCTGCAGACGCAAGCTCGTCAGCTTACGATCCAGTCCCTTGTTTCCGGGTCCCTGAAGCGTTAGAGGCAGTCGGCAAGCGAGGAAGCCAGCAGGGGAATTCCCCAGGCGGGGGAAAAAAGAAAAAGAAGAAAAAAACGCCACCAGCAGCCTCGGGGAAAAATCCCATTACAGCTTCATCCAAGTCGACTAGCCATGGGGAGAGGCTTGGGTCCCATCTGGGTCACCAGAATTTGTTACTGAGCAATGGGCTCACTCTGCTCGCTGTGATCAGAGCCAATTAATCACAAGGAGTTAGGGATCGAGAAACAAAGTTTTAATTCGATTAGCCAGCATAACCAGGAAGATGGTAATGTCTCAAAAAACCATCTTCAAGGATTACAGATCTTGAGACAGTTATATAAGGAAGATGGGCAGTGAGGAGGGGGTCCAGGGATGTTGGTCTCCAGGCGTGACGGGCTCCAGGCATCCTGTTGTTCCATTCTTCTGTCAGCTGTGATGGATACCTTGTAGGTGTATTTCCCACCTGTGGCCAGCCTGTTCCTGGAGAGAAACTCATAGAACAAAGTTTTTACCTTATCAAGCTATCAGGGAGTGCATACCTAAACAGAGGCCATAAATCAGGAGAGCATGTGAATTTTCTGGAGTACGTGCAGAACAGTGAATAGTCACACAGAGGAGGGATTGGGGCCATTTAATGTAACAAAATGGCCTCACTTATGCTCATTTACACCTCCAGGGGACCGGCTGCCCCCCAAACCCCCAGCCCTCACTGCCTGTCTCGGGGCCCAGCCCACAGGAGGTGCACAGGAAATGCCTGGTGAGTGAGGGGCTCCCGGGCAAGGGCCCCATTCCCCGAAGTCAGGCTCGTCCACAAGGGGGCTGTGGAGCCAAGCCTCCCTGAGTGCTGGCCCCATGACGTCCAGAGCCAACGGCAGGGTCCAGCTTGTGGCCCAGGGTCCCGTGCCCTGGGTGCTTCCCCTCCCTTGCCGTCACCTGCCACCGCTTCGTTGGTACATGAGTTTCCCAGAGGTGCTGGGACAAATTACCCTGAAACTGGGTGGTTTAAAACAACACTTTATTTTCTCACAGTTCTGGAGGCCAGAAGTCCAAAAGAAAGGTTTCAGCTCCCTCCAAAGTCCCTACAAGAGGATCCTTCCTCACCACTTCAGCTTCTGGGGTCTCCAGGCGTTCCTGGGCTTGTGGCCACCTCCCTCAAGTCTCTGCCTCTGTCTTCACGTGGCCTTCTCCATGTCTCTCTGCACCCACATCTCCCTCTTTTTTCTCCTACAAGGAGACTCCTCATTGGATTTAGGGCTCACCCTAACCCAGGTGACCTCATCTCAAAATCCTTGCCTTAACTGTATGTGCAAATAGGGTCCTGTGCTGAAGTTCCGGGTGCATGTAGCTTTTGGGGCCACCATACAACCCGCTGCACTTGGGTTTGGGAAGGGGTCGAGCAATCCCCAGAAGCTGGGTGGCAAGTACGAGAGCATCCAGCCAGAGCCTCTTCCAGGGTCTACTGGTCACCCCTCCATTGGCAGAAGCCCATCCTCCAGTCCCGGTTTGTGAGGGCATGGATTTCAGATCTGGAAAATGACTGAGCATGACTGGAAACTTAAACTTCGTTCTCCTTTTACATAAAATGTTAGTATTGTCTTTAGAGCTTTTTAAAAGAGAAAAATAGTACTTGTTTTTATGAGAATGAGTGGGACCCATGAGATAAGGCCATTTCTTACCTTGACAACTATTTCTTCTGCATGCTGGGTGAGGTCCCTCCTTCCTGTCCAACTGTCCCCGTCTCCAAATCCAGGACCACAGGGAATGTTGCTGGCTGCAAAATGCTGCCTGCAGGGCTTCGCAGGCTGACCCACCATCACAGACAGCATACTCCAAGGAAAGGCCAGCGAGGCCAGGGGACAGAACCTTGAGCTCGCTGGGAGCCGCTGTCCTGCGCCAGGCTGGCTGGGGTTCCTGGTCAACCAGGAGAGCCAGGCTGAGCTCCTGGTGGCAGATCATCAAGACCCTGACCTCTCAGGGGCTCTGGCCAGGCCCTCCCCACATCCCAGAGATGCCAGGCTCCGTCCCCAGGCCAAGGTGGGTCTGGTGCTCATAACTGGGTCCCGGGAGCAGTGAGGCTGGGAAGGGCCCTCTGGGGCACATGCCAGGGGCTTCGCTGCCTGCCCCTCACAACCTTCCTCTTCCCTCAGCCCCTCCCTGCTCCCTTAGCGCACCTCTTGGGGATCACTGGGCTCTCTCACTCCCCACCCCACCTGCCCCCAGCTTGTCCTGCACCCCCGCCCTCCCACCTGTCAGGACCACTCATGTGCAGCTGTTCCTACCCAGGACCCCTTCTGAGGGCTCGGGACCCAAACTTTGACCTCAAACAAGGCCTGTGGGCAGGACCTGGATATCAGGGCCTCGTAAGGCCTTGACCATCAGAGGGCTTAAGGAAAGGCTGGGCCCTTCTGCCCATTGTCCACACTGGCCTGAAAGGGATGCCTGGGCGAAGGAGCTCTCAGAGGGCTCGCGTCAGCTTGGGGGGAACGTGCGCTCCCCCACTCCAGGGCCTTGCTCCCTCTGCTGGGAACACCACCCTCCCAGACCCCTTACCCTGTGATGTCTCCCCGGTGCATGAGTGAGCCACGTGCTCAAGGCCACCAGAGAGGCCAGGGCAGCCAGCACAGATGACGCAGGACCAGGCCGGCCTTGACGCCGCTGGGGGAAGGGACAAGGGATGGCATTCCAGGGATGGAAGGAGGGGCCAGCTGGCTAGTGAGGGTCTTAGGGGGTGGCATGCTCAGGCCTGGACTCCCTGGACATACTCTTGCCTGGGGGCCAGGGCTCACCAGCTGCCCCCCTCCCCTCTCAGGGTCACAGGCCTATCCCAGCCCAGCCTGGCCCTGCAGAGGAGGCAGCTGACGAGGGAGCCCTTGTTTTTCAGCCCCGCTTAGGAAAGGATGCAAAGCCAAGGGGCTGTAGGGAGACACACTAGAGGAAGGCCAGCCCAGCAACCCTGGGACCCGAGCTTCCCTGCGAGTCCCTGAGCAGGCCCGGTTACCCGCACCAGCCATACAGGCGCATGGGGTAGTCAGGAGGGATGCGGCCAGCACAGATCCTGTGGGGTGGGGGTCCTCCTGCTGGTCACCCCCCCCCCCACTCCTCTCCATGTTGTGCACCCTGCTTGTCTGGAGGTTAGACAAGACAGACTCACTCCGCCCTGCCCTGGCCTCTCAGCCCTGCCTGGGTGGGAGGCGTCAGGCCCGCTCCAAAGGTGGGGTCTGGGGGAGCTGGGCTGGGTTTGCTCAGGAGCCCACTGGGCCACTGTGCTGAGGCCAAACTCCCTTGCCCCTGGGGCAGCGGCTGCCCGGCTGAGAAAAGGCCCTACTGGACACCACAGGCTCTGGTGCCAGCCAGACCAAGCCTCCTCAAACATTTGTGGGAGCAGTGCAGGAGCCCCGAGGGCCCAAGGTGGCTGCACAAGCCTCAGGGTGGGTTTCATGGTCCCTAGACAGCCCCTGGCAGTTTGTTTTCTCGAGTGGGGGGAAGTTAAGGATTGAACCCAACCAAATGGAGGAGGACAGGGCCTCCTGCTGAGTCCCCAAACCCACCAGCGCTGTGGTCCCCATGCCCCACCTGGGCTGCTGTGGAGAGACCCTGTAGGTAAAGCCCACCTGGAAGGGGCTGCCTGGGGATTAGGGCGCCCCGCTCTGGGCAGGCCTGGTTCCTGGGCCCCCAGGCTCCCTGGAGGTCACAGATGGCCCTTGAGGCACTGTCACTACAGGCAGACCCCACTGCCTTGGGGGCGTTACTGCCCTCTCCTTCGCAGGATGACACAGGCAAGGACGCCTCTGCCACTTCTCTCCCAGGATCCCGCCCCACGCTACTCCTGGATTGGTAAGTGGGTGGCTGCCTCCTTCATGGAGCTGGGGTGCACCTAGGCACGGAGGCTGAGACCCAGAGCAGAATGCTCCTGTCTCCAGGGTGGAAGGGAGATTTCCACCTCGTCTCTGCCCATACCCAGGGGGCCGACCCCCATTTTCTCGTCTCTGCCCCTCTCTGTACCAACACCCAGGCCGAGAGTGCCCCCTCACACTGGCCCAGGCCCACGAAGTCACCTTGGCTGAGGCTCCCCGACCTGAGTGGCACAGCCTTGCTTCCAGGGTCCACAAAGAGCACCCCCAGCGCCTGTCAAGGGCAGGAGCGTCGGCTCCTTGGACACCATCGCTGACCCCGCAGGGGCCGGGGCGCCCTGTGGTTCACCTGGCCTCCAGGCGGCAAACCGGCGTCCCAGGCCCCAGGTCCCTCCCAGCGCCTTCGCCTTGGGCCGTGTGGGCGGGGCGCTGGTTGCGGCCCGTTTCTCAAAGGGCCGAGCGCCGCCTCCCCGCGTGCCCCCGGGCCATTTAGCCGCGCGGGCCCTTTAAGGGCCGGGGGCGTGTGGCGGGCCCGCCCTCTCCCCGCCGCGCCCGGCCGCCCGTTAAAGGGGCCGCGCCCTCGGCGCCCGCCAAGTGCGCGCCGGGCGGAGGGCGCGGGATCTGGCCGCGGGCCGCGCACGGGCAGGCCCCTCCGCACCATGTACACCATCACCAAGGGGCCCAGCAAGCTGGTCGCGCAGCGCCGCACAGGTGCGCGGGGCGGCAGCGGGCAGGGCCGGGGGGTTCTGGACGCCGTGGCCGCCCCGGGGGTCTGCACGCAGCTGACGCACCCTTTGGTGCCCGCAGGTCCCACGCAGCAGCAGGTGGAGAGCAGGCTTGGCGAGCTCCTGAAATGCCGGCAGCCCGCGCCGCCCACCCCGCCGCCCCCGCGGGCGCAGCCGCCCGG